TTTCTTTTCTTTTTNTTTTGTTATTTCTTTTTATTCCTTTTTTTATTTTCTTGTTTCTTTTATCTTTTTGAACTTTTTTTTTCATTTTTTTATTATTTTTTTATTTTTATTTTGTTTTTTAATTTTCGTTTTTTTAATTTTTCGTTTTTTATTATTTTTTAACTTTTCGTTTTTTATTATTTTTTATTTTTTTTATTTTCTTTTTTTGTTTTTTTTGTTTTTTACTTTTTAGCTTTTTCTTTTGTTTTTTTTATTTTTTGTTTTTTTTCGTTTTTTATATATTTTTTTTGAAATATTTCAAAATATTAATGAAAACAACAATGTTAAAACTAAAAAGTTAGCAAAATCAATGGGAAAAATCACAACAACAAACAAGGCAATTCAAAGTGTCAAATTTTCCATTTTTTGGTGATCAAATGATTTGATGCAAAATTTCTTCTGAATTTATCAAGCGGCTTCGAAATTCAAATAAAATCAAAAGTTCAAGACTTTCATTGTGATTTTTCGAAAATAACAAATCACTTAGAACTTTAGTGATGCAGAATATAATTAGTAACTATGTCTAGATAAAAACAAATACAAGAAAATTAGCAAAAAAAAATAAAAAAAATAAAAAGCTCAGCCAGTTAGTAATTGAGAAATACATTAAGTAACCTGCGTGAACAAGAGAAAGTTGACGTTGGAGAGAGAAGAGATTGATGAAGTGAGATAGCGATGACTGCATACAGCATATCTTTTCTTTGGCGGCAAGGATAGAAGTGGCGTTATTATTGCGCACCTGAAATACAAACAAAGATTGGTCGAGAAAAAATAAGTAGTATTTATGACAATTTCATGCGTAAGGTAATATTTAAGACAATTTCTTCGAAATAATTTTTAAAAAAAGTGATTCATCTACCAGCAACATAATAGCGCTCCGCTTCATCGTTTCTACCCACCAATTCGAGCCTTCTCCGCTTTGCAGCTCTTTCTCTCATTACGGCCTTCGTGGCCTTGGGGCACCATTCCAAAGAATGGAGCTCCATTGTAGCTGCGATTTCTTCATCGGAGCGGACATGCAGCATGTTGACGTAATGGCCGCATTTTTGGCAAAAGCCTGAAACAAATATATTATACTAGAAGTTTCGGGTTGTCTTGCCTTTTTAAAAAAGAAAATTTCGTCATAAAACTGCACTTGATCTAAGCAACAGTATTACTTTCCAAAGTTGAACTCACCATTCTGCCGATGCAGTTTGGCGGCATGAATTCGCCATCCCTTTAGGGTCCTAAATTCTTTAGGACACATGCCACATTCTGAAAAGACAATATTCACGTTTCCAAATTCATGCAAATCATCTACATGGAATTTCATTCCAGCAATGTAGGAAGTTTAAACTTACTAATTATCATAGACCCGTCAGCATTCCTATTTACTGTGTACGGGTCAATCGGTGGCACAACCAGCAGCTGTTGGTATTGTGCCGGTAAACCTTCCACCACCGGCGCATGGAAGGCTTCTGGAACTGCTGGTATTGTCTCATGTCCTTCTTGCGTTACTATTGGAATTCGTATGGTCCGAGAACGCCTGAAAGACATTTTTTTAAATTTATAACTAGACTGATATCATTCTCTCAATGCTTTCCAACTACTCGTTATGAGCTTAACTTTTCATCGTACATACTCATTTACCGTTCGAAAACGGAACAAAAAAGAAAAAAAAAGAAAGAAACTTCCAACAATCTGACTGTATTCTAGGATGAATCAAAATGAATAAGAATATATGAATTTTGGTGAGAAATGATAAACATTAGTTTTGTTTGAAGCCATAAACTTGTCAGATTTATTCGTGTACTTTTCTTTCTTTGCATAACAAGAAAGGAAACCTACAGTACGATTTCGCGAACTGTCTCCACTTCCATGCGTTCTGGGACATTCGCGGACGCCCTCGGTATCACATCGGCACTTCCCTCATTGTGCTCATGTGACACTTGCCGCCACTCCGCCATTTCCCCCTCCTCCTCTTCATCGTGAACCAGTGCCGGTACTGGTTCTACCACTTCCTGGTGTTCATGTTGTTCTTCTTCGAGGGGCTGGAACACGAGCCACTCTTCAACCTCACGTTGGCGCTCCATTTCGCGCTCGTGCTCTAGGGGCTCACGCAATAATTCCAACTGCTCCCAAGTTGGCGGAGGACTTGGGCGGCGAATCAAGTCCACACTTGGGACCTCGATCCCTTCATTTTCATGAGCCTGATGCTCACTTCTCTCCAATCTCGCTGTTAGGTTGTTAATCTGAAGAAGAATATCGGTTAGAGCAACTAATGAAAACAGTTCAAACTTTTTTAGTCTTCATATTGAATATGCACCTTTAACAGTGTTATTGCATATCTGAGACAAAGAGAATGTTTTCTCTTGCTTCGGTCTTTCTATACTTTTCTTGCATCAATGTTGATGACAATAATAGTAGCAGCAAAAGTCAGCAATTAATGAAATTATATATAATGGAAATTATGCATGCAAAAATAAATTTTAGATTTAAAACAAACATACCAAATGTGCCGCATTTCGTAAATATTCTTCCAAAACGTGGAAGTAAAGCGGCTTCTCCTCACGCAGAAAATTTTTCAAATCTGCCAAATTTGGCAGATTTGGGCCAATTTGGCAAACATTTGCGACTTCCGATTGCATTCGCTGAAAAAAATAGAAATTTTAAACTGCGCGACAATTTGTACATTATAAAAATTCAAACGGTTACTAGAAGTTAAAATTCTATACGTATAAAATAATTAAGATAGAAATAACTAAGGTACTGATAGCATCACTGTTATATTTTTAACCGCTTTAGTCAGAGTAAACCATCCCATTACCTACATACATAATCGTCTGAGGGTAGGATAATACGTGCAAAATTCTACTCTGTTTTGCTCTCTGATAGTCCATTTGATCCCATTGTAGATAGTTACTAAGAAAAAAAAAAGATGCGATCAATATGACATACAATTATATTTTGTATGAGTAATGGCTTTATGGTTATTACATAAAATTTTTAATTAATCAATTCATAAACACAAATAGAATGAGCAGTAATCTTTTACTTATTCCTCATCCTATTTGTGTTTATAAATTGATTGATTAAAAATTTGTTCAAATTTTTTAACAAATTTGACAGTGTGAAAAATTCAAAATTCCCGTTTATTAGTGATTATCGATCGTACTTAAATGATTCTCGATCACTGCCAATTCTATGAAATGTGTGAAAGAAAAACAACTGACAAGATAGGATTTCTTTAGTTTGATGTCGGATCATTCCAGCCATTCTTAATATGAAAACCGAATCCTGTCCAGAGACTTATCTTTCTTCAATCTGGAAATGAATATTGAAAATTCATTACCGAATCTATGCAATACGGTGCTTCTTTTGTTGAATGGATGAATTGGTGTAACTGGTTTTAACAAACATTGGATTATGTATATGTATCAGAATTTAAACAGGTTGGAATTTTTGATACCAATAATTGATGATACTATAATTGTTAAATTTTCAAATTATCAAGTGCTCATTTA